CCTGAGGAGGAGGGGGCAGGGTGTGTGTGAAAGGATTCTAGCAGGCTGAGGAAAACAGAAGCTGAGGGTAATTAGGAGTAGCAGACTGAAAGGAAAGGTGCATCACCCACGTCATAGGGATGGAAAGTAGAGAAGCCAGGAGCAATACTTTAAAGAATCCCTGGACAGCCAGCCTTAATTAAGCACATAATGATAGCTCCAGGGACTGGCAATGTATAGGAGCCTACCATTGGTTTGCTGCTCTAATGTCACGGTCTTGAAAGTGTTAATTCTTCTCCAAGAAGGAGTGGGGAGTTACCATTTTGCACCAGGCCTTACGCATCAGGTAGCTGGTCCTGCATGCCAGGCTAAGCATTGGCAAAGCTGGCTAACAATGGTGCCAGCTGGGTAAGAACTGTTTTGTCCTTTATCTAGGAACTGGCTTGTAGGGTGGAAGAGAGAAACGACATGGGCAAGTAGAGAAGGAAAGCCTGCCTGTTCTCCCATTTAAGGCCTTTTGCCCAAAGGATTGAATTCTAAAGCAAATTCAGTATTTTGATTAAAATGTCATTACTGAATCCAGATAGTATTTGTAACTTAATGGGCCACAGTTGTGTCTGAAGGTCAACAAAAACATTTGGAGACTGGACTTTCTCCTACTAAAAAAAGCAGACTGATATCAATGAGATGACAGAGTCAACAACTGAAAGACTTCATGAAAGATTTAAAAGAAGGTCATAGTGCTGGCCAAATAGCTCAGCACATTAAAGCGCCTGCAAGCAGGCAGAGGGGCCAGAGTTTGATCCCTGGGCCTGCCTTGCCGGCCCTGCCCCTGGGGCGCACTGAGATGGCAATTGAGACTGGGCCTGGTGGCATGCTCCTGTAATCTCAGCTCTTGGGAGGCTGTAAACAAGAGAATTACTGTGAGTCTGCTCTAGTAGTGAGACCCTGAACACTCTATAGACCCTTTCCTAAAATACAATAAATAAATAAACAAATAATATCTGGTCTTAGTGTCCAAGTTCTCTTTTTTAACATTTTTTTCCAAGTTCTCTTTAAAAACAAACAAACAAAAAGAAGGTCAGGTGTGGATTTGAAACTTTTCAGGTGATTTTGTAAGTGCTTTCCTTAGTAGAAGGGACTGTTGTTAAATAGACCAGGAAACTTTCTGGAACATGACTGTATTTACATAAGATAACTGAAGAAGGAGTTTAGGTAATTAGCCAGGTGAAGGTTGGAAACTTACGGTTATCATTTCACTGTTAGCTGTTGTATTGAGAAGTTCAATTCCTACAGAGCAGACTCTGAAACAACTAAAGATGCACATGACCCCATGAAGATAAAATTATACACTAAAATGAAGCTCTGAGATTACAATATGTATTGGTTTTATTCCACACCATGATTCTGCTGCTCAGCTGGGAATAATAATAATGTATGCTCTTTGCTTTGGAATTAGAACATGAATTGGAGTCCTATGTGCAGTTAATTGTGGTCAGTAGCTTTCTGTGACCCAAGTGTCATATTTTAAGAAATATAAAATATGAAGTACAGACTGCTTCAGTGGGCAACAGATTTAACTTTCTGAGAAAGGATATGAATGAAAAATTTTTTCATTCATACTGTAGTTATGTAGCAGGAGAAACAAACTGACAATGAAGTGGAAAGTTTCCACAGTGCTTCGAGTATTCCAGTTTTACATGGAACCAGATTAGTGACATAATCTGGTCCTCAGGAAGGCTTGCATGTTCTGAAACAGGCACGTGGCCCATGCTGTAAGAAAGACATCCATGCAAAAGAGAAAGACAACTGGTACAGATAGCTATTGCAATGAACTCTTCTTTATTTTAGTTAGTTTGTGCTGCTATAGTAAAATCCCACACACTGGGTGACTTTTCAATAGGAGTTTACTTGTCAAAGTCCTGGAGGCTAGAAGTTCAGGGTCCAGTCCTCTGCTCCTCTGGTGTTTGGTGAAGGTTTGCCTCCTGGTTTGCATATAATTGTCTTCCTGTTTACTTCCAAAGTGGAGAGTAGAGAGGGGGATCCAGTTCTTTGTCATTTCTTTTGAGGTCACTATTCTTCTTGGGGCTGGTGCTCCACCCTGGGACCTAAGCACTTCTTAAAGGCTCCACTTCTAGTCCCCTCACATTGGAGGTTGGGATTCCACATTTGAATGTTGGGAGAACACAAACATCAGGTGGGTAGTATATTACTTAGGCCTCTTTGTAAGTTACAGTTCTTACTTCAGCTGTAGAAGTAACATAGTTATTTTGTAAACCAATTGTGGCAGTGCCTGCTTCACTGTTCCCCCAATCTTTTTTCTTCCTGAGCTGAATCCATTTCGTGAACTGTCTCATAGTTTGATGGCTTGAAAGAGTTCTTACTGGGGACATGCAAGTGGAAGTGATGTTCATAACACCTTCCTTGCCCACTGGATGTGATTACAAGCTGAGCACGCGAGAGCTCCATAGTGGAAGGAATTTGGGCCTAAATGTTAATATTCAGTGGAGACTTTCTGTCATTCAAGACTTTAGCAGGATGAGAAATATACTTCTATTGGCTGGTGATCATAGAGTTTGTGTTTGTTTTTGTAGCAGCTTTATTATAGAAACCTATGAAAATATTGTCTAAGAAAAAATAAGTAAAGTATAAATTCTTTCAAACACACAAAACCTATTCTAGTTTATAAAATAGTTTTAGAGCCAGGTGTGGTGGCACACACCAATAATCCCAGCACATGGGAGGCTGACAGGAGGACTGCCATGAGTTCAAGACCAGCTATGAGTTTATTCAAAACAAACGAAATTTCATTGATAAGAGATAGCTAGTAAATCAGTAATTCATAATAGCACAATATTCTCTCAGAGTAAAATATTTTTAAAAGCTTGACCATTCTTTAGGGTTGCTGTTTGGAGATGGTTTTCTTAAAAATAAAATTGGGCTATGCTACAACAGAATAAAAATCTGACCCACATTTGGGTTTTATAGCAACAAACCTGCAATGGAAGCATTTTGCCAACAGCAATTGTTAGGAGTCTGACAATTATAGAAATTATGTATATTTTATTGGTAGACAATAGAATCATGAATAGTGTATGATTTTTGCTCATTTTTACCATGTTGGAGATTGAACCCAGGACCTTCTTCCTGAGCCACATCTCCAATTTTTTGTTTTATTCTGAGGCAGGGTCTCTCCAGCTCCCTAAATCATCTAGACTGGGCTAGAACTTGTGACCTCCCTGTCTCAGCCTTCCAGAGTTCTGAGATTACAGGTATGCACCATCATACCTTCAGTTTGCTGACTGATCAGCTCACTACCTGTTGGGAAATATGGAAGGAGGGGAAGGCAGCATTGGAGGACTTTAAGATGGGTTGTGTACCTATTTCTTTTCCTAATATCCCTAGCCCAATTGTGTAGGCTCAAAAGCCTAATTTTGTTTAGACTGGTCAGGCAAAACAAATTTCAGTGAAAACGAAAGACACCTTCTCTTCCTTACTCCACAACTCCAACAGATGTGCATTTCACAAGAGAAAAGATATGGTCGTAAGTGTACCAATAAAACTCACTGTACAAATATTAGGGAATATCATTTGAAAGGAAGGACCTGGAGAGGCACAGAAGGAAGTGCTTGTCAGGAGAAATTCTACACAGAGAAAACACTGGCATCTACAAGAATCTTTCAGGGGGAGAAAACAGGTACCTCAGCAAGGCTAGAGTCACAGGGCAGATTAATATGGGTGCTCTCCGGGTGTTGCCAGCATGATAAACCTTTTTTTTTTTTTTTCTTTTTTTGGTACTGGGAATTGAACTCCGGACCTTGCGTTGCCAGGGAGGCCGGGGCTGCTGAACTATCTCCCCAGCCCCAAACATGGTTTTAAGAAACAAAAGCTTCCTTTAAAACTTTATGTTGTGTGATATGTGGCAAAATATAGTGTTTTGGAAAAACAGCCTGCATTGCAAGTAGTCTTAGGAACCATGAACTTCAAAAGAAATGGTGCCTTGGTCGTGAACGCAATAACATCATGGCTTCCCAAAGTCCAGGAAAATATCCCTAAAACGGCTGTGATCTGACAGTGAATTATGACCCCACTGCACCCTGTGTTCACGGGTGGGGTACTAGCCCTTCCTGCCTCGGGGACGCGGGCCTGGCCGGTCAGGTGCAGCCCCGCGTCCGGGCTGCAGCCCTCTCGCTCAGGTGCAGAAGGTGGGGAGGGGGTGGGGGTGGGGTCGGCCCGGTCGGCCCCGCCCACCCCGCTCCAGGTGCGGCGCTGCTCCCGAGGGGCCGCGGACGCCGGGGAGGCTGCGCGCTCCCGCCCGCAGCTCGGGTTGCAGGCGTGCGGGAGGCGCCGCCGCGAGGGAGCCCTAGCCGTCCGGTCGCGGGCGGTCGCGGCGTCAGCTCGCGCGGAGAAGCCCGTAACTTCCCGCCCGGGAACGGGCACGACGGCTCCGCTCCCGGCCCCGGCTGGTTGGGGGATGTTCTCGCGAGAGGAGCGGGGCGCGGGGCGCTGCGGGTTCGGGGGGCGCGGGGAAGCCTGAGGACAAGGGCTCGACTGGGCGGGGAGCCGAGGCGGCGGGCAGGACGGGGACGCGGGGAAGCCGCTCCCGCCAGTCGCCGAGAGCCAGCCCCTGACGTCAGGAGTTTTCCTTAAAGTCAACAACAAGCCCCGCGGCTGCGGCGGCGGCGGCCCCGAGCGGGAGGAAGGGGGCGGGGCGGCGCGGGGT